AAGAGGTAATCAAGACTCTCCTAGCAAACAAAAGCCCAGGCCTGGACGGCTTCATGGGGGAATTTTACCAATCATTCAAAGAAAAACTAACACCCATTCTCCTCAAACTATTTCAAAAAATTCAAGAAGAAGGAAGACTTCCAAACTCATTTTATGAGGCCAGCATAATTCTAATTTCAAAACCAGAAAAAGACACTAGAAAGAAAGAAAACTAAAGACCAATATCCCTGATGAACATAGATGTGAAAATCCTGAACAAAATACTAGCAAATTGAATCCAGCAGTACATCAAAAAAATTATCCACAATGACCAAGTAGGATTTATCCCAGGGATGCAAGCTGGTACAATATTTGCAAATCAATAAATGTTATACACCGCATAAACATAATGAAAGATAAAAATCATATGATCATATCAACAGACGCTGAAAAAGCATTTGACAAAATCCAGCACCCATTTCTGATAAAAATGCTCAGCAATCTGGGAATAGAGGGATCATATCTCGACATAATAAAGGCCATATATGAAAGACCTACAGCCAACATCATGCTCAATGGGCAAGAATTAAAAGCATTTCCCTTAAGAACAGGAACAAGACAGGGATGCCCACTTTTATTACTTTTATTTGACTTAGTACTGGAAGTCTTAGCCACAGCAATCAGACTTCAAGAAAACATAAAGGGATCCAAATGGGAAAGGGGGAAGTGAAACTGTCATTATTCGCAGATGACATGATACTATATGTAGAAAACCCCAAACACTCCATCAAAAATTTACTGGACTTAATAAATGAATTTGGCAAAATAGCTGGATACAAAATTAATGTCAAGAAATTCTTATACACCAATGATGAACTCACAGAAAGAGAAACTAAAAAAAAATCCCATTTACCATTGTGGCAAAAAAAAAAAAAAAATAAGATACCTAGGAATAAACTTAACCAAAGAAGTAAAGGACCTATTCGCAGAAAACGACAGCATATTGAAAAAGAAATAGAGGAAGATATAAAAAAGTGGAAGCACATACCTTGTTCATGGATTGGAAGAATTAACATCATTTAAATGTCCATACTACCCAGAGCAATTTATAGATTCGATGCAATCCCCATCAAAATACCAATGACATACTTCACAGGTCTAGAACAAACACTTCAAAAGTTCATATGGAACCAAAAATGACCCCAAATAGCCACAGCAATCTTGAAAAAAAAGAACTCAGTTGGAGCTGTCACATTACCAGATTTCAGGTTATACTTCAAAGCCACTGTAATCAGAACAGCCTGGCACTGGCACAAGAACAGGCAGATAGATCAATGGAACAGAATAGAGAACCCAGAAATGGACCCAAGACAATATGTTCAATTAATATTCAACAAAGGTGGCAAGAGCATACAGTGGAGTAAAGAGGCTGAAAATGGTGTTGGGAAAATTGGATAGCTACATGCAAAAAAAAATGAAACTAAACCATCAACTTACATCATACACAAGAATAAACTCAAAATGAATAAAAGACTTAAATGTGACTCATGAATCCATAAAAATCCTAGAAGAAAATGCAGGCAATAAAATTTCAGACATCCCACACAGCAGAATTTTCACTGACACATCACCTAAGGCAACAGAAACAATAGAGAAAATGAACGCATGGGACTACATCAAACTCAAAAGCTTCTGCACAGCAAAAGATATAATCATGAAAATGGAAAGGCTACCCACTGTATGGGGGAGCATAATTGCTAATGGTAGATTAGATAAGAGGTTAATTTCCAAAATATATAGAGAGTGCTCATACAACTCAACAAAAGGAAGACAAAGAACCCAATTAAAAAATGGGCAGAGGAACTAAATAGACACCTCTCCAAGCAGGACATACAAATGGCTAAGAGACATATGAAGAAATCGCCAAAGTTTGTACACCACCCCTCATTTTTTGCTCATCTAATCTATTTGAGAGAGAAGTAAAAAAGTATCCTAAGAATAGTGATTTTATTTGTTCTTACACTGTTTGTTATCTCTGATCTGTGAAAATTGCTACTATACTATTTGGTTCAAACTTATTCCTAACTTTTATTTCTTTATTGTAAATTGTATTTTTTAACATCATTAAATATTTCCTAGTCTTCAATTCTGTTTTATCTTATGATAAATTTATGAATCCTACTTTTGGTTTGCATTTACTTGGTATAACTTTGTCTATGCTTTTCAAAAAGGAGCATATCTTACAACAGAGACTTTCTTATAACAGGTAAGTTAAGCCATTTACATTTATTGATATGACATATGTTTGATCTTCACTCTGACATTTTTATTATTTTCTGTATATAGGTTATGTTGTTGTCTTTCATTTTGTATTTAGTTCTTTTGCTTTTTAGTTCTGATTTTGAGGAAGTATTGATTGTATTTTTGTTTTATTATTTACATGTATAATTTCTTTAGTCCTAGACAATATCTATTAGCTTATTTCTATGAACAGTAACTTTAACAGATGTATCCCTTTTCCTCTCCCCTCCCCTGCCTCAATTTAAGTCATTAGAATTATCCTTAATATTTATCTTTGAACTGCTAAATATGCTTTTACCTTTGATTTAATTTGTTAATTTGAAATAATTTTCTATGACTCTAGCTCTTACAAATGAAGCAATCCATGGGCTTATTCTACCTACCATCTGGGCAGACCTCCTACAACTGAAAGACTTTCTTTCTCTGTGACCCTAAAGGCCTTATTTGTTTTCTATAAATATAGCATTTCTGCGAGTTTCTCCATGCAGCCACACTTCTTTCCCTCCAAGTAAACTTGGCTCAGGAGGCTTCTGTGGCCTGTCTTGCATTCCCTGACCCCACCCCCAGGGGAACCCTCTCATCTTCAGGAGGGGAATGTGGCTGCCACTCTCTGATCTCTAGATCCTCTTCAAAACTGTTTCTTCTTTCTCTACCAATTCTGGTAGGTTCATCTCATTTCGATCTCAGTCGTGTTCTTACGAGTTTCTTCTTAAACATTTCATCTCACAGTGGGCACCTGGTCTTTAGGATATCTATTTTTGCCAAGTTCTACTGGGATGGGCCCCTGATAGGCCCCTCCTCCCTGCACTCTTTTCTTACCAGCTCTGCCCAGGCATTAGGCTCACTGCATACATTCTGGAGTTTGTACATTTTCTGTGTCTCCAACTGTCACTGATTATGGAGTTTGCAAGGTCCCTCTTCCTTTACTCTTTTTGTCACTCTATGGTTTTCAGGATAAGGGAAGATATTTGAATCTAAGCTGTGGCCATGTGTGTTCTGCACCTTAATGCTTTAATAGGGAATCTACATGTAGCTCACTAACAGTCTGTTAATGAAGTGTTCAGCATACCATTTTAACACTCTTGGTGGAACTGACCCATTGTAATTTTTCTGATTCATTGTATCTTAAACTTATCAACATGAACTATTATTGTTACAATAAAGAGAGGTGGGAATTATTTAATGGTATATAGGTAGCTTGCTCCCCAAGCTACACACAGACAGAGCTAGCAACATTGTACCAATATTTTACAGAGTCATGGACAGTTCCCTTTTGCTTCCCTCAAGAACAGTTATAAACCATTATTTCACTCTGTAGACCATCTATCCTCAATCACTCTTAACAGAAAAATAGAAGTCTACAGATAGAAACTTGTCCTCCACCACTCACCAAAACTACTATTGCTAAATGGAAGTCAACATTGTCCTAATGACAAGATTTAATCACCTCATTTTCAAAAATCTTAAGTACACACAGCCATGGCCTTGATGTCCAGAATGGGCAATCTGTACTGCTTGTCTGATCTTTATCCATGTGTTAAATTTTACTACTCCTCAAGGTTATAATTTTTTCTTGTATCACATAATCTTTCTTTGTTTTGTCATCTACTTCTGAAACAAGTAAAGGAGACAGTTGAGAAGTATTATAACAAAAGTTTTCTGCTCTCCCTGGCCGGTTTGGCTCAGCAGTTAGAGCGTTGGCCTGCGGTCCAGAGAGACCCAGGTTCGGTGTCCGCTAAGGGCACGTACCTCAGTTGCAGTTTGTCCCTGGCCCTGGTTGGGTCGTGCGGGTGGCAACCACTCGATGTGTCCCTTTCATGTTGATGTTTCTCTCCCTTTTTCTCCCTCCCACTCTATCTGAACAAAATATCGAAAAATGTCCTCGGGTGAGGATAAAAAAAATATTAAAAAAAAATTTTTTTTCTGCTCACGGCACACACAAGTTCAAAATATCCCAAGGACTCACTTAAGATATTCTTTCTTTTAAAATAAATTTGCCTTTCCCTGGCCAGTGTGGCTCAGTTGAGTGTTGTCCATGCACTGAAAGGTCACTGGTTTCATTCCTGTTCAAGGCACATGCTCAGGTTGTGGTTTTGGTCCCTGGTCAGGGTGCACATGGGAGACAACTGATTGATGTTTCTCCCTCACATCTATGTTTCTCTCTTTCTCCCTTTTCCTCTAAAGTCAATAAAAACATATTTTAAAAAAATATAGAAAATAAGTTTATCTCAAATTGTGACTTTTATGTATGAAAATCATCACAAATGAAATTTTTTGGAGGGAGCAAGAAAACATCAATCTTTTTCAAAAAAGTTTTTAATTATTTGATATGGGAGCAAGTAAACTAATAATAGTTTAAATTCAGGTGATGAGTATAGAGAATTATGGAAAATTTTTAGCATTTCACATTTCAGTTCTGTTTTGGACAAATTGGTTTTATCAATAACAAATCTGAATAAATGCAATACTATGGAACTGTTAAAGTATGCCACTAGCTGAGAAAGCAAAACATATAACTTTATAAAGGAATAAGGTTAGTTACTAACAGTACTAAGAACATTTTTAAATTTGTAGCTCTTAGAAAAAGCATTTGAGGCTAAAGGATTTTTTAGTAACTTTATTTTCTAAAAATATATCCTACAGTTTTTTTTCCTACATCTCCACTTCTTTAAAAATAAGTAGAAACAAAGACAAAAGCTTATCTTGATACAGGTTTAGTGTCAGCCAAATTCAGCTTTCAGGGAGTGAAGGTCAACCAGGAGAGCTTCTGCACTTGGCCTCTGCAAGGCATTGGCCCTCCAGCAGCCCCGAATCATCTTCTCCAGTCTTTTCCCGGGAATGGAGTCGGTGAAGACAGCTGCTGAGAGAGACGGTCGGAGATTATAGGCCACTACAGCGTAGAGCACGTACTGACGCTCCCCCAAGTAAGGCACCTCCTTGGTAGCCATTTGCCAGAGAGTGATGGCAAAAGAATAGATATCAGCTTTGGGTGTTAGGGTCTCTCCTTTCAGGAGCTCTGGGGCTCGGTGGGTGTATGTGCCGCCTAGGTGGTAAGAAGGAGTCTGGAAGCAAGGGAGATTTTCCAGCTTCTCAGAACAACCAAAGTCACCGATTCTGCAGACATCCTGTTCACTGATCAAAATGTTAGCCGGCTTCAGGTCCAAGTGCACAATGCTTTGTGAGTGAAGGAAGAGCAGTCCATTCGCAATATCCAGGGCATACTTCAGACACTTGGACAAAGTTAGCTGCTCTCCTGCACAGCAGGGAGGCTCCACCTCCTCCTCCTCTTCCTCCTGCTCCTCCTCCTCAGGGCAGCTGGTACCACCGTATATGACTTGGTGTAAAGTGACATTGCCACCAAACTCCATGATTATGGTGCCTAAACTATTAAAGCCCACGGGTGTGCGCGTGCTGGCAGCCACAACCCCCACGATGTTCTCGTGGCGAAGCCTTGCTATGTTGAGCTCAGCCCAGAAACTGCGCTGGGATGCCAGTCGGTTCTTGGTGTACTTGTTCACTTGCTTTATGGCCACGATCACGCCGTGGTAAGTTGCCTTGTACACTGAGCCGAAGCCCCCGGCTCCCAGCCTCTGTAGGAAGCACACCTGTTCCCAGTCAATGAAGCACCAGGCCAGCCGGCGTGGCAGCCGCGGGGCCCTGGGAGGAGTGGCCTCCAGGAAGAGCTGCCCTGCCCTACCCGGGAGCTCCGAGGGGCTACTCCAGGGCCCGGAGTCCACAGACGGCGAAAACTCGCCCAGGAGGTGACTGCGCCGCGGGAGAGGCGAGGGCATGGCCTCTTCAAAGTGGATCCAGAGCGGCTCAGGTGCGTGAAAAGAAAAAAAACAACCCGCGTGAGTTTGGGAGCCTGACGGAGGAGCTGCTCCTTTGCTCCGCCCCAGCGCTTTTCTCCTCTTCCTTCATTTCCCCACTGAGCCTCATCTGTGCTGTTACTCAGCCAGGGTTTCCGTCAGACGGAGGAAACCAATCCGAATGAACACAGTGTCTGTCAGGTGAGAGCATTTCCCTTCAACACCTGCAGTGAATTTTTATAACTAGTTCTCAGATAAACAGCACTGAGGTGCTCCAGGACTCAACCCTCTTTTACACTATTTCTTAATTATATTAAAATAGGCTCCCCCCCCCCCAGTCTCATCTGCTGAATATTATCAGTTGTCAGACTGAAAAGGCCACAATAGTACAATGACATTATTTCGCACTTTGCAGGCTATAATGATCATCAGCGTTATTCTCCAGCTGCATTAAATCGCTTCCAGCAGTTATTGGCAGAAAGGATTGAAATATGAACAGCTGACATTTGTTTATCTGATTATAGGGAAAATTAGGTGCAGCCTTCATACACGGATAAAAAATGTAACCTTAAAGTAATGGATCCAAATAGCATCACTGATACAGGTCAAAACATACACCTCCTAAGTTCATCATGGGAAAGGAAACTTCTCTGACACGCCATTCAGCTTACAGAGCAAATTACCAAGATTTCTTAGCAACATATCGACTTCCTAACAATCCTTCTGTTCCATGGCAGTTCGGCCCACCCAGTAAGCTTGCTTGAAAGAGAGATTCTAGACTCCACAGCAAATGAGTTGCAGAAGTTTTGAAACAGCTGTTGGGGGAGGAAGAAAGAACAAAAATGATTCAGAGCCACGATCAGAGCTTCAAATAATAACAAATCTGAGAGAATCCCAGAAAAGAAAAAAATCTGAAGAAATAAATGTGACATAGAATCACTAGTGCTTGTATAGAGTGTGGAAAACCAGGATGTTGAAATTCAAGTCAGGGTCTTGCTGCCCAAAATAAATTTTTCTTTTCTAATTGTTAAAATAATAAAAACAAACAAACAAACACTAATTTTCATTCCACATCTTTGGGAAAAAGACCAACGATATTACCCTGTTCATTCAAAAAAAAAACAGAATAATGTTGGGATCTACATATTAAGAAATCAAATGGTGAATTTTATTCTGAATTATTGTACTTAGAGGTTATATGTAACCACATTTTTATGATAGATCTATGCTTCTGAAATATATTGCTTCTGAAAAATATATTAGTAAACAAGCCCTTTTGAAGTCTGTTGAGCCCTAGGATAGGATTTCTATACTACCTGTCTGCCTTAGTATATTTAATTTGTTTAAGCCTCAATCTTTTCACTTAAGAAAATTAGGATAATCATTATTAAAATAAACTTTTCTATTTTGAATAGAAGTTGGGGAGCCCTGTCCAGATTAATAATAGTAAAAATCTAAAACATGTAAACTATGAAATATTTTAGTAGAAATGCAGTTCTATGAAGTTGTATCAAACATGAAATATAAAAAGATGACAGTGAATAGAGTAAAATAAAAAAGCAACAAAATTATATTTTCATAAGTATATAATATTTATTCAATAGTCATCGTATAGTTGGGACTGTAATTTACAGCTCTGAAACTGTTCTGTAGTATTAGGAGTGCATATTAGCCGAATAAGAGCAAAGAGTGCCTTAACCTCCTTGGCATTACACACAAAGGAAAACGATGTGATTGTTATCATATAATTTATTTTTAAGATAATAGCATAACTAATTCATTTTTCAAAGTTTGATTTAATTATTTACATAAAGTACAAGGTACTAATAAAAATATATTGCTCTATACAGTGAAACAAATTAATTAGAACCATCATCTGTCTGGCTTATTTCACTGAGCATAATACTCTCCAGATCCATCCATGCTGTCACAAAGGGAAAGATTCCCTTCTTCTTCTTCTTCTTTTTTTTTTTTACAGCTGAGTAGTATTCCATTGTGTAAATGTACCACAGCATTTTTATCCACCCATCTACTGATGGGCACTTGGGCTACCTCCAAATCTTGGCTATTGTAAATAATGAGGCCGTGAACATAGGGGTGCATATATTCTTTCAAATTAGTGTCTTGGGTTTCTTTGGATATATTCCCAGAAGTGAAATTGCTGGATCATTTAATTAAAAACAAAGAAAAAATAAAGAAATGGTAACAAACAAAAAGAATCATCACCTGACAGTCTGCATAAGAGTATTTCACTGAATATCCATTTTAAAAATGCCTCTGGCCCTGGCCAGTTTGGCTCAGCGGTTAGAGCGTCGGCCTGCGGTCCTGAGAGACCCAGGTTCGGTTCCCGCTAAGGGCATGTACCTCGGTTGCAGTTTGTCCCCGGCCCTGGTAGGTTGTGCGGGTGGCAGCCACTCGATGTGTTCCTTTCACATCGATGTTTCTCTCTCTCTCTCTGTTCCTCTCTCTCCCTCCCACTCTACCTGAACAGAAAATAGAAAAATGTTCTCAGGTGAGGATAAAATAAATAAATAAATAAATAAAAATGCCTCTGGGGCCAGATGGCCCGAGTTTCTTATAGTCCCTCAGTTTCCTCATCTGCTAAGTGAGGAAAATATGCCTACCTCAGGATTGTTAAGATAAACAGAATTCCGTATACTTAGATCAGGATCTGATAAGTAATACGTAAATGCTAATTATTATTTATGAAACTCGTTAAAAAAAAACACCAACACAATATATATGTGTTTATACCAATAAGAAACAGCGTTGTTCGAAAGTATTGGTTTAAAGTGTACTCTACCAGGGCTGAGGCAACACACTCTGTTGTAAGATAAACCAATCTGAAGTTTGAGTATTTTCTTCATGCACTTAAATTTTATTTGAGGTTAAAGATGTAAGAGCATGTTGCCTTGTTACATGCTAAACATGCGGAGGTTTAACACTAATCTAACCAAACGCAAGAACCTTGTCACCCACAAAGAATGGCAAAGAACAAAGCTGATAACAGGGTAGGCAGTCTAGCCTATAGAACTGCAAATGAAACAAAGGAGAGAACGAGGCTGTGGAACTACTGAAGAGCAAAGAGCTCTCTGGTTCTTAGAGTAAAGGCTTTACATTTTCTTTCTGCTTTTTCATTAGCAGCATGACCATTGAGAGATACTTCAGCATCAGGCAAACAGCAGCATATTTATCACAAGATGTGATAACAGATAAGAATGAATAGCTCGTGGAATTTGATTTCAGTCAGAGAGATTCAGGAGCACCGGTTGTGGGAGAGAACCTCTCGGTGCGAGCGGAGGGCTCCGGACTAGTAAAGGGCGTTAGCGACTGGCCAGGCCCTGCGCCGCCCCGCCGGGGAGCCAGGGCAGCGCTCGCGGCCACAGCGCGGCCGGGGCTTAGGGGGAGCTCTCCTGCCCGAATCTCCAAATTACTGGAGTGGAGCGGCTTCTGTTCAGGCCACCGGACCCATGACCCCGCCGCCTCCCCTGCACGACACGCGGCCTCTGCCCTGGAGTCTGGACGCATCTCGTTAGGAGCCGTGAGGCGGTGGCGTGGGCCTTGGGCCAGCTGTTTTGGAGGTGTCGAGAAAAGTCAGTGTCAGTACAATGCACAGAACCCCACTTCCAGGACTACCTCGGATCGCTACCTCATGTGAGTGCATGCGCACCAAGTGACCGCTGCGTCATCATGGAGCAGTTTCCCAGTGGTCTCAGGTTACAACCCAGTTTCAGAATGTTAAAATGTGAGGGAATACGAGAACTGTAGTCTTTGAAGTGTTTTATTACTATTTACAAGCATGCACTAAGGTCGAAAATTTACATTTGCTTTTAAAAATATATATAATTCAAAAATTAAGATGTAATTGAATACATGTGTTTTACTAAATACAAAGATCGCAGAGCCAAACTTGAAAAACACTTTTTTACTTGAGTAGAATTATGCTATTGATATTATTCTGAAATTTGAATTTTATACTTAGCAATATATATTTGTTTTCATGTCAGTACAGCCATTTGCAATAATGTGGATGGACCTTGAGGACATTATGCTAAGTGAAATAAGTCAGGCTGAGAAAGACAAATACCTGTACCATATTACCCCCACTTAAACATGGAATCTAAGAAACAAACAAAACCGAGCTCATAGATACAGAGAATGGATTGGTGGTTCTCAGAGGCAGGGGCTGGGGGTTGGGCAAAATGGGTGAAGAGGGTCAAAAGATACAAACTTATAAAATAAATAAGTCATGGGGATATAATGCACAGCATGACAACTATAGTTAATGATATTGCATTGCATTGTATATTTGAAAGTTGCTTTTCTAATTCTTCTGTTCATTCATGAAGATTGGTTGCTATCATTTGGAAGATCACTTGGATTTTGGATTTGACTCTTAAGATATATAAATACTGCATGTGTTTATTTCAGTAATGTTTAACTTCTAAGTTCTCTACTTTTGAACTTGACTCGATTTTAAGACATAGAAATATCTTTCAAACTGGTTTTAAGGACCTTTGAGCTAAATACTATCTTGAATTTTTTCATATTTTTAAGACTATAAAATATTCGTGGATATTTGAAACTGTAGCTGATTGAAATTTGGCACTCTTGAATGACTTTGTCCAACTTATGGCACAATTTACAGAATCATTCTATTGCCATCCTCCCTTAAGCCAGAAAATGCTTTTTAATTATGTATTTTACATTTACTAAATTTTGTATTTTTCACTGATAGTGTAAATAAACCCAAATAACAACATGTTTGAAAGAGAAGTAATACAGGCTATTCAATTCACAATCTTTACTCAACTTAATGTACTTTTTCTTCTGTGTATGATTATGGGCTCGTGGCTTTCCATAGATTCAATGTGATTTAACCAAGTGCAGTAATTATTGTCTTTTCTAAAACTTATGTTCTTTTGACACAATCCCATCAATCTGAAATATTTCTTGTCTCCGGTATAGCACATTGCCCCTAG